CTTGGCTGCTCCTGCAGGGAGCCAAGGTCATTCCCACAGGGCTGTATCCCGGGCACATCCATCCCGGTGAGACACGCGGTGCCTCTGCCAAGCCTAAGTGGGGGTATAGGGAGGGCCACGGGTACCCACGCTGCGCTGCAGCAGGAGGTGATCCCCTGTCCCATTCCCAATGGGAATAAACCTGTTTCCTTGGAGCATCCCTCCTGGCGGACTCGCTCCAGGGAAATCCCATTCCGCAGTCGCCTGCTGCTAATCCCAGGGGAGCCGATGGGGAACAGATGGATGGAGCTGATCCCTGCGGCTGGAGCTGCTTATCTCTGGGGCTCAGTCAGGGCCCTGGGGACACCAGGGCTCTGTTCCTGGCCCATCTTAGGAAGCCCTTTGTGAGTGACAGCAGCCCCAGCTCTGCATGGCCCATCCTTGCTGTAGCTCCATTCCCATTTGGCCCCAAATTGCCTGGCAGGAGCTGCAGGATGTGTCCTGGCTGGGAAGCGACAGCCCTTCATCGAGCCCGTTGCCGACAGCAAGTGACAGGCTTGCAAACTGCTCAGCTGGGCTTGCGCTGCTCCTCTTGCTTCGGAAAGCAATTCCCTGGCATCGCTGTGACAGAATGAGAACAGCCCTAAGGAAAAACGGGGAGAAAAGGGAAAAAAACAGTAATGCAATTCCCTTACTTCACCCCCTCTCAAGCCCCCATTGGGAATTGCCTGCAAATTCCAGCAGTGCTGGCGCTGAGCCCCCAGCCCCCCATCCTGCAGCGCCCAAGGGCAGTTTGTCCAAAAACAACCTTGGGAGCGGGAAGAGGATATTTGGCAGAGGGAAGAGAGGGGAAAAGCAGCATCCATCATCCGGGCATTGAGTTTTATTTAAAGCAACCCCTGGGTTAAAAGCAGCATCCGGCCTTTGAGCCCTGAGCACAGGCGACTCCTCTTCCTGCACGGCCATGAGCATCCTGTCCCATCCCTGCTTCTTTAATTTCCTTAATTTCCTAATCACCGCAGCCTGGTTTTCCGGCTTGCTCCCCTGGAGCTGTGCTTCCAGGCTCAGCAGTGCCAGCAATGCTGCTCTTTCATTGCCAGACTGGAAAAGAGCAGTTTTGCCCCATTGAGAGGACCAGGCACGCTCACACCGAGCACGTTTTCCATGCGAGGTTCCAAACCTGGCAGCCAGCCCAGGGATGCTGCCGGCTCCGGGTGCTCCAGAGGGAATCGGCTTCCCTGGGCCGGGGCAGTTCTGCCTCCATTTGCAGAGTGTGATGCCCACGTTGCACCGTGGCGGGTCCCGCTGCCGCATCATGTCACCCCATTGGCTCCTGCGTCACTTTTTCCCAATGATCCTGTGTTTTTTGGGAGCACCAAAACCTTTGGGATGGGTTGTTTTCTGCCAGCTGCTCTGCAGGCAGCTGCCCTGCTTGAATCACATCCCAGGGCTCCTGTGACCCCTTCCCGTGGGATTATTTCAATCCCCGCTTATCTCCCGCAGTGCCACCCTGCACAGCCCAAGATTACGGAGGGAGCGAAGCAAAACCCCTGGCAATTATCGTCTCAGGGATAAAGGAAAAATCCGGGCACTTACCATCCGGGGGATTCCCTCCCGCAGAAGCTGCTCCGTGTTTCCATAGGTCAAGAGAAAAGTGGCTGCAAAGCTACAGGGGACACGTAAGAGGGAAGAGCAGTGGACACGCCAATGGGAGCAACCTGGACACGGCCCCTGGTTCCCACTGGTGCTGAAAAGAGAGATTTAGATGCAAATCACTTTTTCCCTGCTCCCCGCAATATGCCCATAGACCCAGTAAAAACACAGTTTGCAGAGAAGCTTGGAAATCCTGGGGGGCCGGGTGTCCCCCGCCACCCCCACGCGCTGCTCCCGCAGCCAAGCTGGGTTTTAAGAACCCCATCAGCTGCAAGGCTGCAGACGGTGGCATTTGCATCAGCCAACTTTTAAATTAGCATTCAAATTAGAGGAGACGGGGAGCGCAGCAAGCTGACGAGCTCACGCAGGCCACGTCTGCGCGCGCCGAGCGGCCCCGGTCACCCCGATGCCACGAGAAGAAGGGGCCTGTAAGGAGGGGTGACTCGATCCTGCACCTCTCTGCAGCCACATCAGGCTGCAGCATGTGTTTTTTCCAGAGGAATGGGTTTAGAACAGTGAAATAAATAGAAAAAAAAATCAAACACGAGCTGCTCCTTAGCACCTCAGCTCTCGTTTTCCCACATTTGCTGCTCCACACTCAGGTGTGAACTCAGACAGCGAGAAATCAGAGAAACCTGTGAAATCCAAGCATAGTAATTCACAAGGCTTTGGGCATCTGGAGATAGCTTTTGCTTGCAAAGATACTTGAGTGCTGCTCCTTTACCTCCTCTCAAACGCAACCACCCTCACCAAAAAGCACTAACTCAGTCAGGAGAGCTCCGATACATGGCCAGCTGCTTGGGACACAGCGAGGCATTTGGGAAGCAAACGTGATAAAACCCACCCAGTATGAAAGTGCCACGGTCCTGCTGTGCAGGGAGCATTGCTCAGGCTTGCTTTTAT